GTCATTACTGCAACATCAATGACCAATTCAGAGTTGCCAAGTTTTCTTATCCAAATCCTTTGGTCATGAATAAGAAAGCCCTAGTGCTGAGAAAAACAACAGTCAGTGTTATCTGTGCTCACTCAGTCATCGATTAGGCACACAGCTAAAGCTCTCTGCAAGAAAACTGATACTGTACTTTCCATGCCTCACACTCTAAACACTGTATGGACCTCCAAGCACGGAGCACCTCTCAAAGGACAATTACAATAAGCAACTTCCAGCTAGGCACTCTTAGTCCATGTATGAAGGATCCATGCCCTCGCCGTCTGGGTGAAGAAGTCTTCCTGCCAAGCGCTCAATGTCGTCAAGACTAAGTTGTCGAAGTGAGCGTTCATAGTCCTTGAAGAAAAAAATAAAATATTGATAAACAGCAAGTTAAATATATTCTGCAGAATTCATTTTAGCCATGTTGTGTGTGTGGGGATATTGCTATACTTTCAATAAAGCATGAGCTGGGAAGGTTTGCTTAGTCTAGAGTGATGCAGACCTGAAGTCTAATATAGGTAATTTCACGTTGGCAGCTACGAACAGCAACAAAATATAAATATTGCAAGAAATAAAAGGTAATGTAAACTGCACACAGCAGAGCTATGCTCACATCCCATTAAGTCTGTGATACTGATTTGTTAGCTATGTTCTAATTTAGGTTTAGGAGCTGAATCCTTCAGCCTGCTTCCCCTTTACAAATGAGATCTAGTCTCACAAAGATCAAAAATAATAGTGCATTATCAACAACCAACAAGTTTATCACCAGAGACGCCATGAAATGATTCTTTCACAAGAAAACCTGTAAACAAAATGACGATAAATAATATGTATTCAAAGTGAATGTAATTAGGAGTTTGACATTAATATTTAATATAAAAATGACAACAAATCAATACAACTTGATATACAGTAAGTACATGCAGTGCTTTTAAGAACTAAAGTGCAGTTTTACATGGCTTTTATTACAGAGACCTTGCAGTGGATTACAGTTATCTAATTTAAGTGATATATTCCTGTGATATGAGCACTTTATGACATGATCATTTTACAATTTTATAAGTGAACGAGGTATGTCTGAATGCTCTATCAAACAACTGACCACCACACAATGGATTGTGGGACACAGAGGGATTTGTAGGATAAACTGGTTGTGTCTTCCATATTTGGGCAAAAAAAGGGTTGCATTTCTTGGCTATATTTGGAGAAGACTTGATCTAGGATGTATTCAGACTTTGGAGGATCCAGTCCCTAAATCTGAAAGCAGCATTTATATCAACAGAATGAGAGGCGAAAAAAAAAAAGTCAAATATCTACACTGTCAATATACCAGAAAATAAATATTACTAGAGCACCACTATGTTTTGCCTTCATCCCCACATGTTCATGAAACATATATAGTTTGGCCAAGGACCTTTAAATCAGCATTTGATGCTGCCCTTCTAAATGTTTTAAGCAACAAATCAAAACATTAGATTTAACAATTTGGAAACTGTAAATATCCACATCAAATTGGACTGGTAAAATCTGACTGCTTTGATCTTAGATTACAGTGCACTGTACTATAGTTATTAATTACCTTAATAAGCTGTTCATGTACTTTTGCTGCGTCTGCTGGACTAAAGTGTCTAGCAAGGATAGTGGACACAGTCTGCCACACTCTCCCCTGTGTGCTGCTGCTGCTGCTGCTGCTGCTGGGAGATGTCCCCGATGCTCCAGTCCTCTCTCCCACTGGACGGATAACCAGATTCAATTTAGCCTCTGGCCCAATGGAGTAATCGCTCAGTCTGTGCTCATCTGAGGAAGGCAATATAGTATGCAATCATCAAAAATTTTAGCGTCTGACACATGTATAAAATAGACTGGTGGATCAAGCAATTACAGTTATGCATGATGCTTATGAAACACTTGACTACTGGCAAATCTACCTGCAAGTGCTTTCCCTTTATAGAGCAACCTCTGCTGGTTTGCTGGTATGTTGAGACGTTCTGACACAAGTTCCTTTACTGTGGAGACCTTTTCGTCTTCAGTCACCTGGAAAATCAACATGATTATGTAGTCACACCAAAATACATATGGAAAGCATTCTCTCCTTCTTTTTAGCCTAAGAGTACTTTGATTTCAACCAGTGATTAAAGAGGAATTCACATGCACAAGTGACACATGCACCTCTATCTTGGTAAATGGCTTCTTTAGCACATTCCTCCTTTGTAAAATAAACAGCCACTGGCCTATAGCGACAGTATTTATCCAATAAACACTGTAGACATAGCTGATAACAGGCATGCTAGAGTGTGGGCAAGTACTTTAGTTCTTTCAGCTCAGAATCAGGAGACGCATTGCATGGTCTTGATCTCTGATTCTCTTTAAAATAATAGAATCTAGAATAACTTCTCTTCCGCTTTCATCCAGTATGTGTAATACTTCCCCATTTGATACACACATCATCAAATGCTTTAGATCACCTATACTAGGCATTATTATTGTTTTACACACAATACCTCAGAGCTTTACAGTAGCATACTACTCATACTAAAAACTATAGTGGTTCCTAGGCTCACATACTATGTTGATAAGGCTCATACATCATACTTGTCCCAGTATAGCCCCAGTTTGTGCCCCTTACAGTATTGTTATCATTTCAAAACATGAGAGGCACACACTGGGGCCAGGACTAGCCTAATAGTGAGCAGATAATATCACAGGCTGTTGAGAGTAGGAAAAAACAACTTAGCCCTGGTAACTTAGATTTAGAGTTATTTTGAACATGCAAAATAAAAATTAGAAATGTAAGTAAGATACAACACCTAAATAACCAAGGGACATATTTAGTAAGCAACATAAGTATGTCATGTCCAAAACAGAGTAGGAGAAAGGGAATACTTATCAAATTCTACCCCCTCTTTTAATATTTAAAATAAAATAAAAAAACATATATCTATAATGATTATTCACACACAAAGTGGTTTTGTTTACAGTTCCTATGGCTCTTTTTTGAAGGATGAAGATTGGATTTGTGTTTTTTGTTATAAGTGCATCCCTACACTCCCACTTAGTTCGTTATGTATGGGACTATAAAGAAACAATATAAGGTGTTATCTTTGACTTGATCTAATAATTGACTTAACTTTGATATTCTAGCTTTGACATAACCTATATGTAGCTTCCAGCTTAGTTTATTATCTATTATTACTACATTTCTGACACTCTTTAAATGTGTGCTTCATTCACTATATCGATCTTTAATGAATTAGCTAAGACTCTGTAATATTATAAGATTCATTTGATAAAAATCCAGTAAGCTAAGTTATATTGCTGCTTGGGCAAAACCATTTTCCTTAGATACTGCTTTATTGAAGTATTTGCAAAGTCACTTCCCTTTTCGACAAGAGCCACCAAATAAGGACTTACAGAGCTCCCACTCAACCACTGTCTCATATTGTTAACCTAACAGTTTTTCTCAAGGATGTGGCTAACAAGCTGGCTATAGTAACGTCGATTCATAACAGTGGGGGAATTGTCTCCACAATACCTCCACCTAAGCTACACTGAGGGGAGTCTGACAACCTAATGTTTAGACTCAGGCATAATATGTTTGGTAGATCAACCTGTGTCAGAGCCACCGCTGTCGTCTAACCAGCTAGCTTGCCTAAAGAAGTTAGTTAGAACGCTAGTTAGCTAGCGTTAGAGAGTCGGAGTTACCGCTAGCTATTAGCAGCTAGCTAGCTCGGCAGTGCTTTCCTCACCTGTACGTTGCATTCTTTTCCTTGAAGCGGTTTCACGGTGAGGATCATTTTCGATCACAGCCTGAACAAAACACAACAACACGTTCACGGGTTAAGCTACTAAATGTATAGATAACGTGACTTAGCTAGCTCAAGATAGCCACAGGGTTTCTTCTCTTGTCAACGGCCCATCTTCTTCTCCGGCAGCTGCGGGCTGATGCTGCTCTCAGGCGACACTACCGCCACCTACTGGCTGGAGTGTGTTATGGCGCCTCTCTATGGAGGACAATTCATCCGAAAAAGACAGAAAATGACAAATTATTATTATTCTTTCTTCTGCTCGAGATAATTAGGCTTAGACCATAATTAGATATTAAGGGGGAAAAGGAAGAGGAAGAAAAATGACAATGCTGGATGGAGTTAGGGATCTAAAAGTGGCAAAGAGCAAGCTTTAATCTGAAAATAAGAAGTCGGGAATCAGAAACAGGTTTATTGCCAAGTGGGTTTCCCATGCAAGAAATTTGCCTTGGTGTTTAGTGCAAAACAATAAACAAATTAGTAAAAATTGATAAAGATAAATGCAAGTAATTCAAACAGTTGAAGCATGGGCTGAATAAAACAGGCAATAAAAATATGGGGAATAAAAGTAAAATACATTTAAAAACAACATATGACCACTATAAAGCTATTAATTATCAGTATTAATAATGTTGAACTGTTATTGTAAATATAAGATTCTGTGCTTGGCTCATGTTACACAAACTAGTGCCTTCGTTTTCCTTCAAATTATTTGCAAATATTAACATGATGTCAATATTAACATTGAACATTAATAAACTAGTTTCAAAATTATTTAATTTGCATTAGACCAACTTGAAAACAATAACTCTTGTCCTAACATAATTTAAACATTATCTATATCTTTGTCATGATAGGGCCCTTTGTTTTGTACAGGTGCAATGGAGGGAGAGTAAAACCTCTGATCAGTGGCACAGCAAGCCTTTACACTCTTCTACATCAGCGAAATATCCGGGGAATAAAATGATTGATGTTCACTGCTCTGTTTGCCGGAGACCCACCTATCCCCAGGGCTCTGAAATACCCCAAAGACCCTCTGACCCAATTGGGATCCAGTCCATGCATTTCTCATTACAGCCTCCCGGATGGTCTCCACTGTCTTGGTCATGTGATTGCCTGCTGTCTGTGCCCAGCCCTGGCCAGCCCCGAGCAGGAGAGGAGCATCTCTCACTTGGGCGGGTATAGAGGAGATCTGCACCTGTCGAATGGACTGTCTGCCTCCAAACAGGGACAAACACATCCAGGACAAGTGAGGAAGACTCCCACAGCGCCAGACAGCTGCATGTGGTAAGTAATATTTGTCAAATAGCCTACAGTCCGGCATTATATTTTGCAGGACAGAGCTTGCATGTGTGTTTACAAACAGTCTAGAAACATAAAAACGCTGTTGTCACATTTTAGCAACTCATTCATTTGTAACAAAGGCTATTATCAGTGCGTATGGCTCCGAGCGCGCTTCGACCCAAAATGAAAAAATCTATATTTTATTCCTGCAGGGACACAAAGTGTGTGTCTTAATAGGGACTCTAAAATGACCTTGTTTTAACGTGAGGTGGTGTATCTCTCTGATATTACCAAAGCTCACACTTTCTTGTCTTGTGTGTCGTATCTTTTTGTTTAAGTGTCCTTGATTTTTTTTAGTTTTTTTTAAAGGATTTGTTTCTGTTAAGATGAAAGAAAAAAAGTCAAATGCATAAAAAGCATAAAAATACTGTCTCTATAATGCATTTGTACATGTGCACACCTGGAAATCAAGTACTACAAGCTCATAAAGAAAAGACATTTATAGCCTATCTATCTATCTGTCTGTATTTATAAACCTGCCTGCTTGTATTTATGTCTAGGTCAAGCACATATGGGGATTTGTATGAGAAGCATACTGCAAACTCTCCTGTGTTTTCTCATCCAAGTAAAAGCCATTATACCATATTGATTTCCCATTTATATTATTGATATTTGTAAACTGTCTATATACATAATCAGAGGAAGTGAGGCAGATGGTGGTCAAGCTTTCTTAATTGAGGTAGTAGCTGCAAAGAGAGACTCAATGCAACTCAAAGAAAGACAGAAATTGTAAATAACATGTAGTTTTGACCCACTCTATATTTGCATGTATGTTTTTGTGTAGAAAGAGCTATTGTTGTGTTTTGTCACCTGGTGTTTGCAGGTCATGGGTACACTTCGGGACCTCCAATTTGCCCTGCAACTGAAAATTGAGGAGCTTCGCCAGAGGGACACACTAATAGATGAGTTAGAGCTGGAGTTGGATACAAAGGATGAACTCATTCGGAGACTGCAGGAAGAACTGGATCGCTACAGAGCCACTGTCTCCCTCCCAGGATCCTCCGCAGCCAGTGCAGGTACAAAACATGGTGCTCATAAATGCCATATTTTTAAAGCATCAACAGGTAGTTTGACCCAGCACAACTTGACTACATCTGACTTATTGTGTGTGTGATATTTTTCCCTGTAGCTTGCTCTTCTCAAAGTGAGGACTTGCAGAGAACCAGTAGGAAAACAGTAATTTCAGAGCCCTTCACTTTGGATCCTGTGACTCTCGCCATGGTCTCACATAGAAGCTGTGACAAAAGCCAGGAGTAAGAGCACACAGTGTTCTCTCGCAGCCGAAAAATATGTCTCTCAAATGTTCAAGGCTCTCCGACTCAATCAATAAATATTTCAAATCATTTTTTGAGACAGCCTGTAATGCTGCATTCAAGGCTTTCAATAATGTGCCCTTAAATGTAACACCAGCATCCTGCCTTTCTGCCCTCAGATCTCAGAGGCTGATTCAGGCTGCCTTTCTGAAGAATGACTTGTTGAAGAACCTTGACGAAGGAGAAATCAGAGCCATCACAGCTTGTATGTATCCCACCACCATCAATCAAGGCTGCTATGTCGCTCAGGAGGGGGCCAACGGGGCTCAGGCGTATGTTTTAGAAGGTAAATCATTTTCTTCGTACAATTGCTGACATTAATCATGCTTGAGGATATTTATTAACATTTCCTTGAGATGACAGGTGCTTAAGTACTGTCCGATGAAAAGATTAGTTTTATCTTATCTTTCAATTTCAATTTTCTTACTACTGGTTCACAGTGTGATTCTGTGGCAGTGCTCTCAAACAGAGTGATGTGATAATTGCATGTTTGAGCAAGAAAAGAGGAGGCACTTGGGATAATGAGTAACCCACATTGATGTTTTTTTGTGTGTGTTGAAATGTCAACACCAAAACAAATGGCAGGAGAAAAGAGGATTTGCTTGGCTGTGGTTGCAGAGAGTTCATCAGTGCTTGATCGTCCTCAGGAATCTTGGCTGCATTCGTATTGTGACAGCTAATGGAGAGTGGCTGCTCCCTGTTTTTCGCCTGTCATCCTAACCAGCGAGAGGTGCTGGCCTTGATTCGCTCAGGGATGATTGCATATCTGTTGTTTGTACAGTATGTCTGAAAGAGACAGCTGAAGGTTCTTTACAGTCACTCTCCATTTCCTGACACACAAAAAAGAGACATAGCAGTGCCACAAATTATGTGCATGCTATATTTCTGCCCTGACTGTGTTTATTAATAGAAGGGCGGCTGGATGTGACAAAAGACGGACTGAAGCTTCTCACAATTGAACCAGAAGACATGTTTGGAGAGCTGGCTCTCCTCTACAACTGCACCAACATCTACTCTGTCTCAGGTATCTTGTTTTTTTTTATATTTGCACGCAGATATCGCTGGAGATGTGAAACACTGGTGGAGTTTCACTTTAATTAATTTTGAATTGCTAGGGATATAAATAATTCTTGTTTGAGAGAGTATCACAAGCAGGATGATTTCTGCCACTGGTCTTAGACAGACGTCTGTTGAATCTAAAATCAAAGACCTTTTGAGATCTTAGACAACACCACAGCTTCAAAAGGTTTTCTCAGAGATGTGGGGAATTTAAAACATTCTCTGCTCTCCTGCATAACCCAGCCATCTGACTGCCACATCTCCTCTCTGCAATCCGACATGTATTAAATGAATTTTCACAAACATTTGCAAACACCATTTTCAGAAATACATTCCATTCGCTCTTCTCATGGTTGGATCGCAACCTATTTTATATATGTATATACATTTCTCGTGTAAGAATTTCTGATAGTCTTTATAAAATAGAGAGTATGTTGTCATTGCCTTCCAGCATCTGATCACAGAGTCCTGTGGGAAAACTTTCTCAGCCATCGCTGCGAGCATCTGACCTGGTTTCACAAATAAATAGGCTGTGGATCAGTTTAAATTGAAAAAATCCGTTTATTTGCTTTGTTTGGTCCCTAAGCATCCCATTCCTTTTTTGCACCGCTTTCTTTATCTCGCGACCAATTCCAATTTACTGTTCTTTACTATAAATCTTCTCCCTGGTAACAATGCTCAGCTCATGTGAGTGGTCTGTTTTCCTGTGTTGTGTGTCAGTCCTTCCCTCAGATCTGTTCCAGGCTCACTGTATTTACCTCTTTCCTGATCTGAAATTACTTTTTTTCCCCCATTGTTGCCTTCCAAGGCCATCAATAAGGCTTGTGTGGTCTCTTTCATCGTGGTAGTGATAAAGGTGCAGTTGGAGAGGGCTTCATCATCAGGTCAGGGAAGTTCAGGGTGGCAAATGATATACTGCAGAAATGACAGACAAATCCTCCTTTAAGAGCAATGTTAGCTTTTTAAAAACATCCTGCACAGCATTCAGATCCAAATGGTCCTGAACTGTGTGTCATATGGTGCTAAAGTGAAAACCGATGGGGTATATCCAAATGGGAGAATTGAGATATCAGGGCTGCACCATATTATCAGATGGTGGATCTAATTAGACTGTCTGGAGGACGTCCACTTCCGTTTGCAGGAAGCTCCAGTGAACCAATCAATATGGGTCATTATTAATTTACAACACCCTCTTTCAAGCTCTATTAACAAGAAAGAGTAGTTAAGGAAATCAGATAAGATTTATATTAAAAGTCTGTAAGGAAAAACACTTTCTTTTTATTGTACATTATGAGCATTCCTAACAGAGTCCTTGCATGCTAACTGTCTGCTCTGTAGGCTGTGGCTCATCCTGCATTCAATCCACATCCCTCACAAACTACCCTTGTCTTATAGAGCTGTTTCAATACTTGTTTCTTGATTGTGTTTCCACCTGAGCTCCAGTGTCACCATCACAACCTTCATCACTTCCTCTGTGTTTTGATCTGCAGCGCAAATGGACAGCAAGCTGTGGGTTATTGACCGCAAAAGCTACCAGACCATACTCATGCAGAGTGGTCTCAACCGCCTTTCTCATTCAATGGAGCTGCTAAGCAGGTGAACATCGCACCCGATACACTTCATTTGGCACAGAGCAGGCCCCAGAAAGCTGCTTTGTATTCTAGTACCTTCAACACAATATCACCAGGGTCATGTTGCTTATCAGCAGCCACAATGGTGCATTTAGGCCTTTAATACTGACCGAAATATTAGCATTCCTGTGATATGTTTCTTGGGGGAAAAAAAGAAATCAAACCCTTTTCAAACCTGTCATTGTCTTTGTGTGTTTGCAGCGTTCCCTTCCTGCAGTCTTTGCCGGAGGATGTCATCATGAAAATGTCTGATCTTATGGAGGAGGTACAGATTAAGTACTTAAAATCTGAAGCACGGCATTGTGTAACCATCACTCGTTCTTCAAACAGAATCCAGCGGATAGATTATGTGTGCGCACAGATGGAACGCCTGTAAACAATCATGTTTACAGGCGAGGCCCTCAGTATTTTTCTATTTTCAGCTGTCTTTGTTTTGCATCAGTTAACAAGCAGGTGCTGGGGTAGAATCAGAATTAATCCTCCATTGTTAGCAGCCCTCATCTTTATATCTGTAGGAGAGCTGCTTCTTTTTTTCTGTCTGTCTTTTTCTGCTCTTATTAAATTATTTTCCACACTTTGCACCTCCATCTGTCATTTATGTTCCGCAGACACACTACACCGAAGGTGACTACGTCATCCGACAAGGAGCTGCAGGAGACACCTTTTATATCATTAGCAAGGGCCAGGTAAAGTTTTATGCTCTCTGCCTGCTGCACACATGAAATTAAGCTTTCAGACACAAAAAAAGATTTAGATTGCGGAGGACAAAATGTCAGCGTAGCTTTAGAAATTGCATTATGATGGCAATAATTGACCTTGGTACTTTTCTACATGGCTCTCTACCATTACTTCTCTTTCATTACCTCTCCCTTTTGCCAGGTGAAAGTGACAGAAAAGAAGCCGGGCCATGACGAGCAGATAGTCCTGTCTAAGCTCGCCGAGAGACAGTGGTTTGGAGAGAAAGCTCTGTGGGGGTAAGAAGGGAATAATAGACTTTCAGAAGAAAAATGTGCAGAGGGTACAGGAACACATGATAGTAAAAAGAATGGCATTTGTGCCACCATAACATCAATGATTTTTTTTTGCATTGATAACATTGTGATATCCTTCTTCACTCTGTCTTTAGAGAGGATGTTCGGACAATGAATGTGATTGCTGCTGGTGATGTCACATGTTTGGTCATAGACAGAGAGTGAGTGGTTATTTTGTGTTAATAAAACTCATTGCATAGAAAATATGAACTGATTCAGACACCACACTTAAAGGGGCTGTTTATCCCCAAATTTAAAAATGCATATTCTTCGTCTTACCTGTTGTGATATTCATCAGTCTAGATTGTTTTGGTGTGAATTGCAGAGTGTTGGAGGTATCAGCTGTAGAGATGTCTGCTTTCTCTCTAATATAGTGGAACTAGATGGCACTCAGCTTGTGGTGCTTAAAGTGCCAAAAAAGTACATTGGAAAATCTCAACAGCAATGTCTCTTTCTAGAAATCATGACCTGGTTACTCAAGATAATCCACAAACCTTGTTGTGAGCAGTTTATGTAGGAACTATTTTCTTTTTACTAATGTATTACTGCCAACTGTGTCACCATGTAAAAGGAAGCATGCATCTACTCATGGACAAGAGGCTCATGTTTGGGAAAGTTTAAGTAGCTCAGTGGTGCTAGGTGAGCAAAAAGTAGATGCATGCTTCCTTCTGCACGGTGATATGGTTGGCAGGTGTAGTTTGGTAGAAAGAAAATAGTACCCACATGAAACTGTAAGACATCTCTGCGGCCGATATCTTCAACACTCGGCAACTATATACTACTAAATATTCATGTGCTTCTGTGCTTCAGGACCTTCAAAGACATCCTTGGAGGGCTGGTATTTAACCGCAGTAATGAGGTGCAGCAAAGCCTTGAATCCAAAATCGAGTAAGGAGCATTACAACACTATTTTCTACAATTACGTGTAATTTACATGTAAACACAGGCGTATAAGCTCACTTGTGTCTTGCTTGCAGGTCAGAAAAGGAGCCTGATCCCTTCTCATCTTCCACCTTAAGTGATTTCCAGATCATCTGTACTCTTGCAGTTGGGGAGTTTGGTCACGTAGACCTGGTAAGGGTTGATGTTATAGCAGCTCACTCACAATGACACAGCTCCCCTGTGCTGCTGCTGCCTCCTCCAAATTCCATGTTTCTATAATGTAATCTATCGATTTCTACCTCTGTCAGGTGCACCTAAAGAGCAACGTCAAGTGTCTTTATGCCATGAGGGTCCTTAAGAAGAAGCTGATCCTCAACAATGGTCAACGGGAGCACATCCTGAGAGAAGGGCACATTCTAATGGAGGCTCACTGTCCATTCATAGCCAGGTGTTTGTTCTTCCACAGCCATCTCATTTTAAATTGTTACGATTTCGATAACATGTCAGTGATCTTTAACATGTTTCCGTGTTGATTACAGACTATATAAAACCTTTAGAGATGCCGAGTGCCTGTACGTTTTGACAGAAGCTTGTCTTGGTGGGGATTTAAGTAGTCTGCTCAAAGATGAGTAAGTATTTTGAGAATAAAGAAGATGCAAGGGACTTTTTGTCTTCATACTGATAAAATATTTATAGTCCTGGCACTGTGTTTTAGCCAAGCTTTCATCACAATGCAATTGTAAGACTGAGCAGGATTTGATGTCTTACATCTGTCTACATCACACATTTGTCTAGTTCGCTTCGATGCTTAAACCAGCACTTCTCTGTACTGTTTCAGAGGATGTCTGGATGAATGCAGCACCAGGTTCTACACGGCTTGTGTTGTTGAGGCCTTGACCTTTTTTCACTGTCGAGGTGTCATCTATAGAGATATCAAGCCTGAAAATGTTTGTCTGGATGAACGTGGTTATGCCAAATTGGTACTACACAAACATAAAGTCAGATTTTCCTCATGAAATTGTGGTATTCTTGGCTTTACCTGGTGTAAGTGATCTCATTTTCACTTTTTGTAGATTGGCTCCAGATGTCTAAAGAAGATTAAGGTGGGTAAGAAGACCTGGACGTTCTGCGGCACACCAGGCTACATGGCACCTGAAATCATCTTAAACAAAGGCCACACTTTATCTGCAGACTTCTGGTCACTGGGGGTTTTAGTGTTTGAACTTCTGAGTGGTGGGTAAGTTTCAAAGTTTCATGCAGCCCTACTTTTAAAGCTCAGTTCTCCAGTTTTAGATCGAAGTGACAGGCTCATGTTCCTCTCTCCAGGCTCCCATTCAGCGACTCTGAGCCGATGAAGATTCTCACTGCAACCATTCGTGGCATCGACCAGATCGACTTCCCAAAAACCGTCAGCAAAAGTGCCTCCAGCCTCATAAAGAAACTGTGCAGGTGTTGTAAATATGACACACTGGACACCATGAATTATAATGCGAAAGCTAATGATTTCATAGCGCTTTTTCAGACATAAAACCCTCCTTCACCCGACCACCATTGTGTGTGTTACATTATGCTTCCCCTCTCCCAGTCCCAACACACACAAACAGACAGGAGCAAATTAAGATACAATCCAAGTGCACTGGACACAACCTGTGCTGTAACACCACTCCTCGAAGGACAGAATCTGATTATTAATTCATAGTTTATTTATTTGTGTGTTGTTGTTTCCTTTTCTCACCAAGGAGCAATCCCTCGGAGAGGCTGGGCAGTCAGAGAAATGGGGCCAAGGACATTCAGAAGCACAAGTAAGACGACAGATTTATTACACTGGAGGAAAACACAGAGGCTTGTGCTTGGAAACATAGTTTTATAGGTTGTGATGCTCCATTTTTTATTCAGGTGGTTTGAAGGATTCAACTGGGACGGACTCTGTAAAGGCACATTGAACCCTCCAGTTATTCCTAAAGTAAGACATATTAAGTTTGGCATATTATTTATTTGTCTAGTTTTGCAATGAATCGATCTACTTTTCATGTTTTCCCTGTTACACTGTCTTTCAGGTTAAGGATCCTTTGGACAGCAGCACATGTGGTCATTACACAGAGGGCTCAGTGGAGCTGTGCACAAACTGGGATGATTTCTGAACTGGATAAAAAAAAATAGCTAGTAGCTTTCAGGTTTAGTCCTCATAAATAATTCACTGCCCCCAGTCTTACTGCCATCAAAAATTAATTATATTTTCACACAAACAAATATTTTCCACAGTACCAGTAACTGCAGTTATTGTTTAATAAAGTAACAGTGCTGCCTACAGTGTTGAGCTCAGACTGTTAATCCTTATAGATTTGTAAACATAGGAGGCCAGTGACGTCACTGCTGTTGAATGTAACTCAATAAATAAACAGGATGTATCACGCTGTCTTTTCTGTCTTTTTAAATCTGAGATCTCACAATGAGTTTTACTTTTTGTCCCCCAAAATGCCTGAATACAATTGAGAAGTGACGTCAGAGCCGGCCCAGTATTGCAGAAAAGCGTCAAGCAGCAGAAAAGTAGAAAGCCAAATACAGGAAACTGCTATTTTAACTTCAAAATAAAGTAACTGAATTAAATTGTAACTTAAAAATGGTTAAATAATAAAATGTGAAACCTGTAGAGGAGGTCAGAGTAGATATGACCACAGTGATATATTGAGATAATTAAATTAGGCAGATATATGGAGTAAAACTGGTGTTGTAATAAAGAGGGTGACAATCTGCAATTTAATGCATGGTGTGGTTTGATTAGAGGATGCTTCATTGACAGGTTTGACCTAAAATATCTGCCCTAATAGTCAATAACATATCAAAAAATTAAATACAGAGAAAGAGAAAGAGAAAGAGAGAGAGAGAGAGAAAAGACATATATTTTGCAATTTTGACTTCATTTTTTTGCATCGTGCTTTATTCCATGTAATTCTCATTCAAAACGCTCTCATATTTTCATTTATTTATTTATTTAACAGGGGCAGTGGACAGCCACTGACCATCCTAGAATTAGATACCAGTAACTAAATTTCATTAGCAGTGCTAAAACTTTACATTTGACATATCAAGTTGTACTGGAATAAAAAATAACGAAATCGGTCTATTTTTAAATTTTCTGTCCTGATTTTTTTCCCATTTAAGCCTAGCCTGTATAACACTTTAAGGGGACCACCACCCAAATTAAGAATTTTTAATTTAATTTAATTTTCAATTTTATATACGTTATTAATCCCCGATGGGAAATCCAATTTAGACTCTGTTGTCAATTACACAAAGGTGCGAAAACACACACATGCACAAACAGGACCTATGCATGCACTAAGTGGAGAGATGTCAGAGTGGGGCTGTCCATGACAGGCACTCTGAGAGGTTGGGGTGTTCGGTGCCTTGCTCAGGGGCACCTTGGCAGTGCCCAGAGGGGAACTGGCACCTCTCCAGCTACCAGTCCACACTCCATATTTTGGTCCGGACGGGGACCTGGGCAGGCGACCCTCTGGTTCCCAACCCAAGTCCCTATGGACTGAGCTACTGCCACCCAATTCCAATATGTTATTTCCATGACCTAGGACATTAAATCAGTATTTGAGAACTTGAATTGCTCTCTCTCAAAGCCAGAATCCAGAGAAGTAAATCTCAACCTGTGACGTCATAGGGTATAAAGTCTGGAGCTGCTCCACTGACAATAAATGGGAGGCTGATTTTGTGGACCCACAGAATGTTTTCTTTTTTTGTGCCCAAATGAGCTTTAATACTTTCAAGATAACCCTCAAAACACACATTTTCAAAACTGTCTATAACCTCTAAATTCAGTGTACTTCGCACTTTCTGGACTATTTCCCTCCCTACCTCCCTATGGATTTTTTTTTCTTGATTGCTGTTGTTACTCGTGTAAAGCATCTTTGGGCATCCTGAAAAGCACTATATAAATCCAATGTATTATTGTTATTATAACATGGTAGTGTCATCAGTTCTGACACAGAAAATGTACCTATATACTCAGAACACCCTCTGGCTGCTTTCAGTGTCATCTATAACATCTTTCCCAGGTCACTGTCTACAAAGCAGCTCCAGATTTCACAACCTGTGACATCACAGATTTGAGTTTTGCAACTATAGTTTTTGGACATGAGAGAGAGTTGTTCATGTGTAGCCTACTGATACTTTTGGACTGTTTTAGACCATAGGCGTAACATGTATGAATTTCGAAAATGGCTGTAGTTCCACTTTAATGAGGATGCTCACCATGCCTCCATCAGACGACATTTTATTTTGAAGGTTTCAACCGGAAATATATAATATTGTTCAGAGCTTTACGTGTGGACGGATTTCGATGGATCTGCAGCTGAAGTAACTTTGGAGCACAATCTGAGGAACAACTGGAAGCCTGTGTGGTTTACCGAGGTGAGTTTCATTTGGCCTTTCATTGTTTGTTTGTTTGTTTGATTCAGCTCGATAAATAAACAACCCCAATCCGTGAATGCCCAGATTGTGATCTACAAGTAAAAAAAGTTTGTCTGCATCCCGCTGAGTGTCCAGGCTACCGAGCTGAGTCTATTATCCTGTGAATAAGAATCAACCTGTTGACAAACTGTTGCATAAGGTCTTACAGAGTTTTGCCTTTAAATGGGTGAGATACAGGCTTCATAATGGCCTGGTGATCAGTGATGCTGCGTTCAAAACACATTTGATGAGGCGATTCTTGATAGTGATGCCTCCTCTGTGAGATTTGCTTTGCTCAACTGAAGCTTTAAGTTAAATTGGCCTCATGGTGTTTTCATCCTACTGCAATATTTGTGGGATTACTCCATGTTACAAAGGCCATTCTGCAGTTTTCTGGATATTTTCCTTTGCAGTGTGCCTCCAAATTCTTTTAAAGACCTGAGATGCACTTAGTAACTGTCACACATGCACCACATTCCTGTGGTGTTTTGTCTCATCCCGAGTGGGGTTGTGGAGGCTTTCAGCCCTGCACTGTAGGTTTTCTGACATTGTTTTGTTTTCAAAGGCAAAGTATAAGATCACAAATTTGACTCAGTGCTTTATCTATATAATATAGCATCCTACGCCCTCTACACTATCCTTAGGCCCTTGATTCAGATAAGGAAAGAAGTGTAAGGAAAAGTTCATGTTTGACATTGAGTATTCTTTCTTCACCTGCCCGACTACATATTCTGGAGCATGCAACATGTTTGGAGTTGTCCCCATGGCCAGTAGCCAGCCCCTTGGCATCCTCTCCTGAGTGTGTGACAGTCACAGTGTGTATGCAGTTGCATGGCAGCTGAGGTTTGTGTGCCTGAGTCGTGCAGGGCTGGATGATCTGCCCCGATGCACAAAAACACTCACAGATTCAAAAGTGAACTGTGAGGTGAGGTGCCAGGGAAACTGAAAGTGGAAGATTACCCCTGCGTAGTGATGTTTGAACCTGGTGCTGCTTGGTTACATGAAACCTCAGTCTGCAGGGAAAAGAAAGCCCAAATGTTGCATTGTCTGTGAGGATCCTGGTTGGTTTCAAGTGAATCTGAGACCATGGGAGATTCCTGAGCATCTTGTGAGAAGTGAAGGTGTTTCCCACGTGCAGGATGCGTGTTGGTGTTACTCATTCATTCTTCACCTCCTTCCCCTTCAACAAGAAAAACTTCATTGTGACCAAGTGTGTGTCTGTGTTGTTCACGCTTCATTTGGGAATCACAGCCGGAAAACACCAGTGCAATTGTTTTTTTCTCTTTTGCTGGTTTCCCCCCGCCTCCCAGCCACCCAGCCACCCGGCCATCCTCACGTGTCCTCCCTCTCTCCTCATCTCCCCTCGATGGGACCATTCACTTCTCGTGGCACATGGAAAGTGTGCAGAGTTCATTGCCACTGCTGCTGGTGTGGTTACAAAGTACTGTCGCCTCTCTCTCTCTCTCTCTCTCTCTCTCTCTCTCTCTCTCTCCCATAAAAACCTCCCCCCTCCTCATGTCACCTCCTGTAGTTTTCTGGGTCAGGGCGAAGCATTCCCCAGCATTGCTCCCATAACCACAGAAGCTCTGTCGGCCACTGTCCAGATTCTCTTGTCACTCTTCATGTAATTCAGGGACATATTCTATTCAGGAATTTGCTTTTGAGGGGACTTAATTCTGTCTCTACTAGATATCCAAATCCATATTTTCACTTTGGTTTAACGGCAAAAGACATTTTAGTACTGAAAGAACATCATTAAGGTCAGCCCATTTCTGTCTGCTTGTAATAAAAATGCATTCATACATTTCCTTTAAAGAAGCTTTAACTGCTTTTCCATGCCCTCAGGCTCCAACAAAAATTCTATAAAATAATTTAAAACTCGAACAGAGATTTTTGTGCCAGTGTTTTAAATGAAGCAACAGTTAACACCTCTGTTCTTTTTAAGTTTTCGCACTGGCTCCTTTTTAATACAAGTAGGCTGCAACCTGATGCTGATGTTGCCAAAATACAACTGTCATTCTACTCTTTAAAGGGACAGTTCACTCCAAAATCAACAATATGTATTTTCCCTCATGCGTGTAGTGCTATTTATCAGTCTAGATCTTTTTGATGTGAGTTGCTGAGTGTTGGAGATATTGGCCGTAGAGATGTCTGCTATCTCTTGAATATAACAGAACTAGATGGCACTCTGCTTGTGGTGCTCAAAGTGCCAAAAAAATAATTTCAAAACCTCAGCAGCAATGTCTCTTTGCAGAAATCATGACCTGGTTACTCAAGATAATCCACAGACCTTGTTGTGAGCAGTTTCATGCAGGAACTATTTTCTTTCTACTGAACTACACCCGCCAACTGTATCACTGCGCAGACTTCGCAGAGCTAGCTAAAACCACAGCTCTGCCGAAGAGGAAGCCTTCAATGTTTTCATCTCCCACTGTCAGAGCACAAGCCTCTCATCCATGAGTAGATGCACGCTTCCTTCTGCGCATTGATACAGTTGGTGGGTGTAGTTGGTTAGACAGAAAGTAGTTCCGACATGAAACTGCTCACAACAAGGTTTGTGGATCATTTTGAGTAGCTGGGTCATGGTTTCTGGAAAGAGACATTGCTGTTGAGTTTCTCAAATGCATTTTTTTGGCACTTTGAGCACCACAAGCTGAGTGCCTTCTAGTTCTGTTATATTAGAGAGAAGGCAGACATCTCTACAGCCAATATCTCCCACTCTCAGCACCAAAACAGTGCAGATTGATAAATAGCACTACAGGTAAGAGAGAACAATTATAAATTTTTGATTTTGATTTTTGGGAACTGTCCCTTTAATGTGCCAAAACGTTATGATGAAGCTGCCTTACCATTTATTACCTAAACCCTGGAGAAATGTCTCCCTGCAGCGACTGTACATCAGTTCTTCAATTCCACTTTTAAGCCCTGATTTGACC